GGTTTATTCGTCCTTATCCGAGAAGACTAGAATGTCTATCCATTTCTTGATGTTATAGAAAGGTAGCACATTCTCCTCAGTTATTTTAAGACCGTGAGTGTTGGTCCGGCCGGGGCTTGAACCCTCGACCTCCCGCACAACAGTCCGGCGCTCAACCAATTGAGCTAACCGAGAGGCGGTTAGCTCAATTGCTGTAAGTTTTATTTTCTACGGCAAAATAAAACTTACACCAATTGAGCTACGGGAAAATAAAACTACAAAGAAAAGTCAAAGGAAAGCAGGCAGACTATGTGTAGCTTTGTTTTGTTCGTTCGTTTGTGTTTTTTCCCTTTTTTTCCTTTAGTTTTTTTTTTTTTATTACATTCCCAGTGAGTCCATAGGTGGTTACGACTCATCATTCCGTTAGTTTGCTGGTGCCAATTAGGGAGTGACGTGTCAATTTCTGAGCTACTGCGCACCTACACCTCCCCTAACTTAACCCTTCTTTGCTATCAGCTGACTGTAGTTGGGTCGGGGGGAGGGAGGGTGTTGGTGCGCAGTTGTTTAGATACCGACATTGATCTGAAAAGTCTTACCCCAGAACATAACACGGTGACCTCACAGGTCTCGCACACTAACCATTCAGCCCCCTATTCTACCAAAAACAAACAAACGAAAACTAAAAAGAAAGTGAAACAGTCACATTTGCGTGTCAAGCATACTACTCGGCACTTACCCCAGCGAAGATCAAGTGTGTTTGGCTGAGGTTTGTTAGATTTTGATAAGACTGGAGGGTTTGCTTGGCCAGGGACAACAGGTAAGGTCCTGATCTTTGTCACTTTGGACCACTGAAAGAAAACAAGAAGACAGTGAACATCGATCATCACCACAATGCAAGACGCACTCGCACCCACTAGAATTGAGCTACTGCTATGCAAGCCACAACTTCATCAAAATATTCTGTAAAGCTCACCTCACTAGTACCACCGTCACTGACAGCTGCTAAGCGAATTCTGAAAAGATGTCCAGGAGATAAGCCAGTAAAAGTGTATTCACATTCCAGACCTCTGTACACTTCTGTAAACTGCCCTCCTGAAAAACAGAGCAGTAAGGAAATAGTTATGACTATATAGAAACCTCAGGTGTGAGGGTTTCAACACTGAAATTAGAACTGATAATGATCAAAATCTGTACCTTTGCAGATCCACATACCCACATGACTCACATTAAAGAGGATCAACCCCTCTCCCCTCCCACCCCAACTCTGGGTCTAGACATTTCCAATGCATAAGGCCCTGTTGGACAGATAATTTTCTGCGACAAAAGTCCCATTGGTCAATAATTCAAAAGTCCTTACCTTTACCATCATCAACTTGTAACATATAAGCTGAGATCTCTGATCCTCCCATGTCCAGAGGTGGCCCTAAAAAGGCACCAAACTTATTAAAACTCCTTACCTTAGGTTTAAGAAATAACCCCTGCATTTACAGTTAAATACAGTTCATAATGGCTTGGTAAATGATCTAAACATATCAAACATTTAGTAGCTATGGGTCCATCAATTCAAAGCTTCAACATCCCCACCCAAGCAATTCCCTGACTTTTGAGCTTTTTTGTTCAAATTCCCACCCCCAAGGAACCAAAATTGTGTTCATATGCCATCCTTATTATTTTCTTGTCATAAAAGGCAAGATTAGCAACCCTGATTTTCTTGTAGACCTTTTCTTCTGAGCCATCTAAACCCAAAAATGAACTTTTACATGTACACACCTCCAAAATAATAAAATGAAGCATGTTTATTCTGCTAGAAAGAATTATGGACAGTTCTAGTTAAAATTTCCTACCCCACCCAGGCAAGGTTCCAATTCCTCACCCCCAGGCACTGAGGACAGTCAAATGCTCATGGGTTACCCAGGAAGGGGAATATTGACAGAAGCTTCACGTTGATCAATGCATCATATGAAAACAACAACAGTAACATTTCAAAGTCGTTATTGGAGTATCTATTGAGCAAGCAAGAGAAGCTACATCTACATGGTTACATTTAACTTAATTTGAATTTACCCCAAGTGATAGCGAATCCTGAGGATCTGACTTTTCCCTCAAGAACTGGCCAGGATGGTTGCCCTTGAGGAAAAATAAATAACATATTAAATTCAGCCTCTTGGAAGCTGCTGGTCATTCTTGTATTCGTCACACTAAAAAGTAATACAGCTGTATGTTTTGCAAGCAACCCAGCACTTAGAGATTAGGATTATTACCTGGTTTACAACCCTTTCACTCTGATATGTGACCAAAAAAGGACTTCTCCAGACAAAATCAAGTCATTTTTAACCCTGTAATCCCTAAGAGTGACCTCCATCTAATTTCTCCTTACAATATCAGTGCTTTCAATAAGATCCGGCACCCGCCGGAGCTCCGGTGGGTATTCTGTTGTGAATCGCCGGGTATATTTTACCGCACTCAAGTCACAGTCACCACACTAAGTCGCAATCAAGTCTCTTTCCGGCGGGTGTTGTACCGAGGTAGCCACCTATTTCAAATCTTATTGAAAGCATTGCAATATCACCTCTAAATCACACATTAGGGTCATGCGGATCTTGACTGTTGAATAAATTCTCCCCGTGAGCATCTTGGGTAATGTATAGAGAACAGTATGGAGAATATGCATACTGATGTTAGAGTGTAAAGGGTCAAGGAGAAAAGTGATATCCTCAGTAGGGAGAGAGGCACAGTGAAGACAAATCACCCAGCCACTGATCAAACCCAAATCTCTTGATCACAGTCCTCCTCTCTACCTCAGAATCACAGTACATCAGAATCTCCCCCACCATTGTCAAATTTCAAACTTACTTTTAATACCTAATACTTTTAATACTTGGGTCTATTAGGTTCATGGACACTTACCAGGTCTTTCTGGACAAGTATCAAACATGACAGTCTCACTCCATTTGCTTTTTCCTTGTGGATTAGAAGCCAGAAGCTGTTGATAAATCACACAGGAATTAAATCAACAAATCAAACAGCCAAACAGGAGTGTGCTAAGTCATGTTTGGGTCATCAGCAGTTATCTGGAGTTGTATTGCCAGGTGGTGCATTCAAACCCCCTCCAAATCATTCCTTTGAACACCGGAAGTCCTGTTTCCAAAGACCTACATGTAATTTTCAAACTCTACTAAGGGAGTATGCCCCTGGACCAATCTAGAATCTAGTCTGCCTTCCGCCTTCCTTGAACAATTCTCTACCCCCCCCCCCCCGATTAAATCCAGGATCTGCCCCAGTACTGGGCTCACTTCACATTGCTCTAAGATTAGTCCAACTACATCATACCCACAACTAACTAAAGCCAATTTACAAGGAAATGCAAAAGTCTTTGCCTTACCCTGAATTTGTAACAAGTATTCCTTTGCAGTTTATCAATCACGCAAGAATTTTCAAGTCCTCGGTACACCACACGGAAACCATAGCCCTGGAACAAAAATAATAGGAAACTTAACATGAATGGTAAAAGGCCTGGCTAAAGTTTTGTTTATAACGTGTTACATTTGCAAAAGACTTCTTAAAATTATCTGTGCTTAGCCAGGGAACAAAACTTTACACAACCAAAGCTTCCTTAATTACCAAGTTTCTACCTCCAAGATTACCACTCATTATTCAAACACAATTGATAATACACTCACAGTACTGTCGTCCTCCATTTCCAGCAAATACTCTGAGATTTCAGCTAAAGAAAAAAAAATCAAAAATATATCACTCTAAACTCATACATGATTTAAGAAACTTCAAATCAACACAAAAGCAGTAAAGTTTTGAATGCAATATTAGCCATCATCTAGAACACAAAATGTTGAATTTGGACAAGGCCAAACAAGGACCTTGAATATCAGGTTAGATAAAAGGGATGCGAAAACCATGCTCAAAAAAAAAAAAAATTGCTAACCTCCTTTGGATTCTGGTTTGCTCCAAGAAAGATTCAGGGAGTTGACACCTGCTTTGTCTAGTTTGGGAGGGGCGGGGACAGACGGTGCTCCTGCAATGGTGACACACTTCAAATCCTTGCTGAATTTACTGTAGAGAAATAATTTATAAAAATCAAAGATTTGAAAGGTTGTGCACAAAATGTTACTGAAAAAAGTACCACTTCTATAGGTCTTATAGAAGTGGTACTTCTCCATCTGAAAAAGAGATGATAGTCCAGCTTGCAATTGTATCTGCAGTAAATAGTGAAAATTAAAAAAAAATACCAGCAACTGTATTTGGTATGTAAATGTAAAAGAAACATCTTCACTCATCTTTCTTCATGGAAAAATGAGCCCACTGCTCTCTCTAACACCTAGTTAATGCCAATTTTCTGTTACTTATTTACAATAATTATTGTAATTTAAGCCAATTAATAACAGACTGAACAAACTTCTGAAAATATCTTCACTTCTATAACCTTCTCCATTAAATTTCCATGTTAATTCAATATTAAAAATCAATACACTAAGGCCTGTACTAGAGGCGACAATTAGGGGTTTATTACCTTTTATTATTACATGTAGTTGATCCAATTACCAATTTCTTCTAACTAACATCATAGGGACTGTATTGCAGACAGCCAGAAGAATAACTATTGAAATCATGGGAGATACTCACCTGGCTCCTATGCTATTCACAGCTTGTAGTCTGAATGAACAAGGTGTTGCAGGGGGTAGCTTATGTGTCAGTTTAAATTGTCTCTGGGGCCCACAGTAACACTCAGTGTAGGCACCTCCCTTTTCACCCTTGCTCCACTCCAATCTGTATAATGTGATTGGGGAACCATTGTCCGAGGGTGCCTGGAGCCAATATGAACACATTCAAATAAATTAATCCTCCGAGCATCAGAAGAAGGAAAAGTACTACGGACTGTCGCAGTAGCTCAGCTTTTTTTACCCACAATATGGAAGATACAATTTCCTTTTGGAGGGCTGGGAAGTGGGGTGAAGAAAATGGAGAAGATGAAGATCAATGAACACACAACTCCAGTTTTGAGGCAAAACTGCTGAGATATCAGTAATGAAATGCTGTTCTTGCACAAAATGTCTAAAACTAATATCCTCCACTCCTAATCAACGCAGTGGCTGTAAATGTGTTCATCTTTGAAAATAAAGCAAACTTTTCTCCAGTTTTTTGTTTGTAATCTGTTTCATTATGAAGGACTGTGACATGTATTGTACGGATACCTTTAATGTTTTATTCAATCATTTTAATCAAATTACCATGTGTTAATAATTTCTGTGGTTTCTCTCATTTTGCATGCATTAGAGAATTGAGCACAACTGTGTCATGTGTCCTGTCATGCAATCAGTCCCAGACATTAACAATAATTATAAATTGAGGTGTAATGTCTTTAAACTATAACATCATAATACAGTAATTGTTTCACAGCTAGTTGAACTTGATCAGAGCTTGGCAAGTACCAAATGAAAATTAGTTCATATCAAAACTTACATATCAAAATAATAAGAAATAGGAAATATTTTAGAAGAGACTGACCGTCCACTTGATAGTAAAGCTTGTCTTTGTTCTATTTCCAATATGAGGCTGAACAGGTGTTGATGGCACTGAACAGGGCATGTCACATATAGCTTCCGGAGAGATTTCTCCTTTGTCGTCATCTTTTTCAGCCTGTAATCTGTTAATGAAGACAGAAAACACAATGATTAATGGACCTGAATTGATGCCTTAGGATGCGAGCCAGAAAAATTGAGTTTTGGGTTCCTAATAAACATTAATTTTTTTTAGTTGTTCAAAACAACTTTGTTACAACAGAGGCTTAAAAAAAGTGTTCACCATTTTCCAAGAAGTTTACCTGCATGCCCCCCTCTTAATGTATCATGCTCAGTTTCTTAACTGGCATTCAAACTCACACCAGTAACAAAGCACTTACCTAAACTTATACTGCATTCCGGGTTTGAGTTCCTTAACAATAAACTCTTTATCCGAACCACTACAAGTGGAAATGAAAAAATTATAAAATCTCTTACATGTACAGTAGTCAGTGTAGCTAAACTTGCTAACATTGAAAACACTGCAACCCCCTGCCCCATCTTCAGTGCAACAAGGTCAAGATTTTTCAGAGTTGCCATTTGACAAACTAAAACCATAAAATAATTGCTTGAAAAAAAACTCAGTTTCGAGAGTGACATATGCATCCATGTATGTCAGACAGCTAGGGAGAAAGAGGCAACTACCTGTACAGAGCATGTCTCTCACTTAAGACTTAAAACTAAATTAAACACCAAGCTTTAGGCAAGCCAAAAAGTGGGACTTCAGCTAAATTATTTCGTGGTCATTTACATTGTACTTTTCACGGGCTTTTGAAGAGTTTATTAACAACTAAAGTAACAGAGGTGGTAAAGAAGATGTTACTACCTCCTACATGAATGTTACATCAAGGTTACCAATTTAGTTACTTAACTATCTTTGAAAATTTAGCCACTTGCATGTAAACTTTCTCCACCCCTGTGGTGACCAGAATGGTCACTGTGACAATTATTTTATGCCCAGTCACAAGTCAAGTAGTACAACACCACTTTTGATTTTAAACTGTCAAACTACATTTTTGTAACCAACTTTAAATATCTAAAAGAAAAACATGTTGAATACCTGTAAATAGAGCTGTATGGTGATGCCTTGGAGAACATCTGTAAATCAAAACTGCACCCATCGAGGTGGCTGTTGTTGCTAACTTGTCCAGCCCAAGAAACCTTGACAGTTGTGCTATTTAAGACTTCAATCTGTAGTTTGAACAAGTTTCATGTTTTCAGTTATCCTGAGCTCAATTCCTTTTCTGCTCTTTTTATTTATAACATAACCAAAGTAAAATGCACATTCTGATTGGTCAATTCAGTGTCCACCATTTGCACATAGGTGTATGCTGCTTATGTGAGCAAATGCAAAGACTAGTTGCTGCACATGTTCTGGTCATGTAAGATTTCACTGTTAACTTGATGCTCAAGGAGCATTCACTCTGGCTTCTTTTATTGCCATGGCATTCACACCAAACACAAGTACAATTATAACATAGCTTGTAAATTCATGCAATCAAATTCAATTGCATGAGTGTGCTTCAATTTTCCTTTGTGCACGCTTATGACATCTGCAAACAAATCCCTCGCGAAAACATTTTTTTCTTGCAAGGGACTTCGGCATTTTTCATTAAAAAACAGGAAAAACTTCTGCAAAAAAAGTTAAACTAGACATGGCAACAAGCGAACAAGCCGATGAAGATCTGCCCACTTTTTCTTTGGGAATGGATTTTTTAACTCCAGAGAAAGAACCCAGCGGAAAGGGAAAACAAAACAATCAACGGTTTCATCTCGTTTCACAACTCCAACTTCATTTCCACCCATGGATTTACTTGTCAGTTTTTGACCAATCTGAGACAAGATCATTGAAGCATAGCAAAATACTTTCCGAAACAAAATAAACAATGCATTGAAGCATAGAAGAGGGAATTTCTGCCCTTTACACATAATTTACAGCACTGAAAATGTTATAAAGCAATTGGTTTATGTGTCAGCTGTGCCTTCATCGAGACTTGAAGCACTTAGGAAGTTTGGAGAGCACTCAAAAAGTTAGAGTTGCTCGAGGCTGTGCCTCAAGCAACTCTTAGGCATCTTTCGTGCTCTCCAAACTTCCCGCGTGCTTCAAGTCTCGATGAATGCACACTAACATATGAACCAACTGTTAATAGTGATTATGTACGAAATACCAAATCGTACTTTACAAGTATTGAACTCAATAAAAACCAGTAACAGAAGAGCTAAGCTTGTATATTTAACCTTACTATTCAAGTTGCTTCTGTCAGTATCCGTATCCAATTCGCTGTTGTTAGCGCCCCCTTCTAAGTTGTGTTCACAAACATTCTTAATTCATTTAGCAAGTGAGGTGCTCGCCCCAGCATCATAGTTTGTTGTTAAATCAGACGTCACAGTTTTGCCAGTATTTTCATAGTTTGAACTCACATATGGCTCATTTGTAATCTCGTGAGAACTAGTATGAACTTTGCCACATTTGGCTATCTTTCAAGTAATGAAGTTTGTGGACCGGCCCATTCCGAAAACACTCAACATCATTTAGCACAGGCCTACCACGAACGGCGTGTGCGTTTGCATGTGGGATGAGCTTAAAAGACAGGAATCTTTGCAAAGCGGTCTTCACAAAACACAGCTTTCTGTAAATTACGTTGTTTACAAAGAGCGAGCTCACGATAACACAAGTTGTCGCACTCTCATCCCCAGTTTCCACGGTTTACGCAAGGAACGCCTGGGACCTTGACCCCCCTTTCGGCAACCAAAATGGCTTGCATTTTCAGACTTGGGCTTTCCTGCGGAAGCCCAAGTAATAAAAGGGAACTCTTTTGCTACAATGCATCAATGGTTATGTTGTAAAACAAATGGTAAACACCACAGCATACACTATTCAGTCATGGATGCACAAGGGAGGTTTACTAGTAAGCACTCAAGAAGCTAAGAGGCTCTTGGCCATCACCTTGCACAACTCTTATGCTTTTTTCGAGTTTAAGCAATCTCCCAGTCCATTGTGATATTTGATATCATTAATGATATTATCAAATATCATTAATGGAGGCAGTGTGGCCGAGTGGTTAGAGTGTCGGACTCGTAATCTGCCGCTCCAGGGTTCGAGTCCCACCCTGACCACTGGATTTGTTTCACGGTAGCCCCGAGTTCAGATCCTTGGCCACGCTTGTAAATAGCCTACTGGTTTGCCTCTGGCCAGTTGGGGTTCTTAATGACATTCTTAATGATGATCTTAATGATGTTATGTTCAATTTAGACCATTTGTTTCATTTGTTTGCAAGGACCACAATGGAAACTACTGGTTCACCAGTAATTGTGTAATCCTATAAAAAGACCTT